CGTCCAAGTCGATGGTCTTCGCAGCTTGGATGAATGATTTGCGCCACGAGTCAAATCCGCGGCTACGGCTTTTTCCGTCTAGGAACGGAGCATTGACCGTAACTCTTGTCTGGTGGCTACTGCTGTAGCCGTCGAGGTATTCTCCATTTCCTCGAAGCACGGGTATTTCACCTGGGGGGTTTAAACCCCTCGCTTCCCCGTAGTCCGGTCCTATGCCCGGGCTTACTCCGGCTGGTCCAACAGGGTTCGCTCCCGATCTGCTGGCCCAGCCGCCTTCCAGCAGCGGCCGTGGTCCTTGCCCACTATCTCTCGTTTGCTGCTGGAGAAATCCCCCGCCACCGCCGAGCGGCTGCGGGGGAGGAGCCTCTAGAGTGTTTGCGGCCTACGCCACATATTTATCGGGTGAAACTGTTTTGGTGATGTATTAACTTCACGAGAGGTCGACGACCGTCCTTCGCACGGACGAAAGAGGGAGTGCTCAAGGAGCGGCTCCCACAGCAAGGAGTGTCCCCGTGAATCATCGCGGTGCCCCCTATCAAATTGTTATCTTACCAGTCTGCGTGACACAGAATCATCCAGCACATGTATCCAGCAACAATGTTCGCAGACCCACGAACAGGACTACGTGGGATGTTCATGCGTGCCAATATTCTAGCGTACATTCCCCCCCAACACCGAGCGTTCCGAGATGCTATCCAACGTATTATCCCCTGCTTTAAGCACGGCGAAACTTTCGACAGTATGGTTTTAACATGACCAACGTTGCGAGAGATACGGACCACGCCAAGTATAGGTGTATTTGCAAAGACCCCCAATGGAGTAAGTACACGGTTACCATGAAGGATGGGTCTAAGTTTTTGGTTACCACGGACACAGGATGCCTTCATGATGCCAACGCTGCAGCCGTACTGAACCTGCAAGCTGGTTTTAGAGCAGAATACGCAGAAGCCCTGAACGATCTGTCATTCTTAGAATCACTCGTAGATGCCATAGATACATACATACATTGGTGGGTTGTGTCATGACCTTAAGATACCACGTGATGATGTTGAGGAATGGGAGGGGGCATTGTACACAGCGACAGAACATAGNGCGTACATTCCCCCCCAACACCGAGCGTTCCGAGATGCTATCCAACGTATTATCCCCTGCTTTAAGCACGGCGAAACTTTCGACAGTATGGTTTTAACATGACCAACGTTGCGAGAGATACGGACCACGCCAAGTATAGGTGTATTTGCAAAGACCCCCAATGGAGTAAGTACACGGTTACCATGAAGGATGGGTCTAAGTTTTTGGTTACCACGGACACAGGATGCCTTCATGATGCCAACGCTGCAGCCGTACTGAACCTGCAAGCTGGTTTTAGAGCAGAATACGCAGAAGCCCTGAACGATCTGTCATTCTTAGAATCACTCGTAGATGCCATAGATACATACATACATTGGTGGGTTGTGTCATGACCTTAAGATACCACGTGATGATGTTGAGGAATGGGAGGGGGCATTGTACACAGCGACAGAACATAGCAGAAAGTAAGTGATACTGATACAGGAGAGCGAGATACGCCTCTTACAGGCCAAATAGACTTTATGGCAGCTAGGATAGCATTTAAACGGTTGCAAGACAAAGCAGTATTTACAAGAGTCGACAAAGCGGCCAACTGCGTATGTATCACATGCAAGGCTTGTTATATTAGGCTAGCGACAACTAAACTTCAAGGACTAGGATATCGAACCATACAAGGGGATTCAGAGATGGTTAAACGGGAGATTATTGACCGACAACATAACTTTTTGACAGACGAAGAGATCCCTATCCCCCAGCAACAGCAGTATAAGGATGAGGAAGGTGACATTCAGTATGAAAACACTGAAAAGTTACCAGCGCGATACCTCACAGCCAAACTGCATAAACAATTCACTAGTCGATATGGCAGCAGTGCTATCCTCAAACAACACCGTAGCCTCCGTCTGCTCTCAATTGATGGTCTTGAGAAGATGACGCCAGTGTAGGATAATTTTGCATTCCTTGGACATTGCGACGTATTCTGCCTCAGCCGACGACGTGGCAGTGACCGTCTGCTTTACACTTGTCGTGTCCACCGGGCCACCTGCGAGGGTAAGAACGACCCCAGTAGTCGATTTTCGATCGTCAAGATCGCCTGCGAAGTCAGAGTCGACGTAAGCGGTTAGTTTATCTCCGCCTTGCGCGTCCTTGCGGTAGGTGATGCCCAAAGAGGTCGTCCCCTTCAGGTAGCGCATGAGTCGTTTCAGTTTGGCAAGCGCCTTCGGTCCTAGTTTAGCCATGCTCTTCGTGAGTACCAGCACCGAGTGAGAGATGTCTGGCCTCGATCCCCTGCTGATGTATAGGACCGAACCCGTAGCCGACCGGAACATGGTAGTTTGCTCCGGCGACAGAGCATTTTCTTCCTTGGTCGTAACCGGCTCCTTCTCGGCCGGCGTTGCCGCCGCGCGCACGTCAGCCATGCCGAATTTAGCAAGCACGGCCTTGGTGTAAGCTTCTTGCGTCAGTAGGATGGTGCCCGCTTCGAGGTTGCGCTGGATGGCCATTCCCAGGATAAACTTTGCTTCTCCCAGGTCCACCGTCTCAAAGCGCTCCTTCATCTGTTCGATAATGGTCGTCACGAGCTCCTCCTTGGCTCCGGTAAGTAGGATGTCGTCCACGTAGACGAGCAGGATGACCTCTCCCCCGTTCAACGTGTACAGACACGGATCGGCGGTGCTCGGGACGAACCCGATCTCCAGCAGGAACAGGTGAAACGTCCCATTCCAGCTTTTCGGAGAGAGGCGTAGGCCGTACAGCCACGCCTTAAGTCGCCAGACCAGCTTTGTTTGCTCCTGCGAGCACGTGAACCCCTTCGGAGGTATTACGTAGATAGGTTTGTCTTTCTTGGACATCCTGGAGTTGAGAAAAGCCGTCTTCATGTCGGCCTGCCTGAGAGCTTGGCCAAAACCAGCAGCGTGGGAAACCACTAGATGGACAGATTCCATAGACGCCACCGGTGCAGCCTTATCCGCTCCCGTGTCAGCTTCGTGAAAACCTTGCACCACCACGCGACTCTTCGGGCGAACTGGCACATGTTCTTGGTTGTACTTCCACCTGTAGTGGAACCTAGTCGGAAGAAGTTGGGCGTCTTCGGGCGGAAGCACCCAGTCGAACACGTCGTGGTCGTAGAGCGACTGCTCTTCATCGTTCATGCTCGCTCTCCAGCGTGCTGCATCCGGTCCACTCATCGCTTCATCGTAGGTGGCAGGATCGGCAGGCATGTAGCCCACCTCCCCGGGACTGCCTCTCCCGAGGTTGCCGAAGTCACTTCCAGTCACCATAGCATGTTCGGTCCTCTCGTACGCCTGTTCTTTCGTAAACAGATTCAACCGTTGCGGCGCCACGGAGTTCCTGCTGCTGCGGCGAGGTGCCGGTGCTTCCGGCTCCGATTCGTCGGATGATTCTTC